ATAGTTTAGCAAAACTGCTATCCCATTCATAACACCAGTTGTAACAAATTAATGCTTCTGAAACCCAGTGAGCTCCAAAATCAAATCTATTCATATTAAACTCTAAATTAGAAAGTTTCATGAAAATTCATATAATCAAAATCAATAATCTCATCACTGAAAAAGAAACACCACATTGAATTTATAATCAAAATCCCTTAACATAGAGATTTAATAAATTCTGTAATTTTCTGGTTTGAACATAAAAGAGATTCAATTCATATAATCATATATATAATCCCATCAAAATCAATATAATCAAAATCAAAATCAATAATTACAAAATCAATTAGAAACTTTATAAATATTAATAATTAAAATTGTAAATTTTTTCATGAATATTATTTTTTATTTTTTTCTGAATTCCACTACAGTGCAATTACCCCAAATTAATACTTCTCCATATATTACTACACATTACTCAAAAATGAAGTTTGAAACTTAAATATAGATAATAAAAGCTTTTAATGCAGATTAGTGACAGAACAGAAATTACATAAACATTCACATTGGGTTTTTGGGTTTTTAAACTTAAGCAAAATGGAGAACTTTGCGGTGCAACTAATTGTAAAGCTATTCCATGGAAATCATGTTTCGAAGAATATGCATTTTCAAAACTCAATAGCTAGTTTAGCAAAACTGCTATCCCATTCATAACACCAGTTGTAACAAATTAATGCTTCTGAAACCCAATGAGCTCCAAAATCAAATCTATTCATATTAAACTCTAAATTAGAAAGTTTCATGAAAATTCATATAATCAAAATCATCAATAATTACAAAATCAATTAGAAACTTTATAAATATTAATAATTAAAATTGTAAATTTTTTTCATGAATATTATTTTTTATTTTTTTCTGAATTCCACTACAGTGCAATTACCCCAAATTAATACTTCATATATTACTACACATTACTCAAAAATGAAGTTTGAAACTTAAATATAGATAATAAAAACTTTCAATGCAGATTAGTGACAGAACAGAAATTACATAAACATTCACATTGGGTTTTTGGGTTTTTAAACTTAAACAAAATAGAGAACTTTTCGGTGCAACTAATTGTAAAGCTATTCCATGGAAATCATGTTTGGAAGAATATGCATTTTCAAAACTCAATAGGTAGTTTAGCAAAACTGTTATCCCATTCATAACACCAATTGTAACAAATTAATGCTTCTGAAACCCAATGAGCTCCAAAATCAAATCTATTCATATTAAACTCTAAATTAGAAAGTTTCATGAAAATTTATATAATCAAAATTAGTAATCCCATCACTGAAAAAGAAACACCACATTGAATCTATAATCAAAATCCCTTAACATAGAGATTCAATAAATTATGTAATTTTCTGGTTTGAACATAAAAGAGATTCAATCATATTCTTGTTATTAGTTAGCTTCACAATTCTTGTTATTCTTGTTAGATTACAAAGGGTGTGTTTTCACAATGATATATATAATACACACAAATACTTACATGTTCAACATAAATCATCAAACCCATTTCAAACCCATTTCATAAATCAAACCCATTAAATAATCAAACCCATTTCATAAATCAAAACTATGTTCAACATCAAACCTTTCAAATTAACCATATCAGATTAACCATATCAAACATTTCAAACCCATTACATACAAATACAGACACATATACATATATATACAGAGGACAGATTACAAAGGGTGTGTGTTCACAATGATATATATAATACACACAAATATATACACGTTCAACATAAATCATCAAACCCATTTCATAAATCAAACCCATTAAATAATCAAACCCATTTCATAAATCAAAACTATGTTCAACATCAAACATTTCAAGTTAACCATATCAGATTAACCATATCAAACATTTCAAACCCATTACATACATCTATATACACATATACATATATATATACATCCAAAATATGAATATTATATTATATACACACAAATACATACATATTGGCTTGAGAGAGAGAGAGAGAGGGGGGGTAACCGGAGACGGTGACGGTGATGCTCTGGCCGGGGATAGACTTCGGTCCGGTTCCGATAGTGACGACTCCCTTGTTGATGTTCCCCTGTTGACGGCAGAGAGGGAGGGAGGTAGAGAGAAGATGAAGACAGGGAAGCACGGCAAGGGCTGGGTTTCGACAGGGAAGTACGGGAAAGGGCTCCAATGGAGGTGGAGAGAGAGAGAGAGAGAGAGAGAGAGAGAGAGTGTGTGTGTGTGTGTTCAAAATTTGAAAACAGAAAGAGAGGAGAGGAGTATGTGTGAGAGAGGGTGTGTGTGTGTTGAGAATGTGTGTTGAAAGAGATGAGAGTGAGATGTTTTTAGCCTTTAGATTAAATCAATCTAATGGTTAAAATTTGGACAGGGGGACAAAAGTCCCATCCAGATTCAAAAATCTGAGTTTCCTTATTATATAGATTTTTTATTTTTTTTATTTTTTAATTATATTATTTTTTTATTTTTTTGTATATATTTTTTTGTAAAAAATTAAAAAATATATTTATTTAAATCATTCTAAATAATCTCTTAGAAAATGGAAAAAATAAGGAAAGAAAAATATTTGAAATATATTAATTTATCATTTATAATGATGTGTTTAATAAAGGTTAAATCTTAATTTATTAAATATTTTATTATGTAAAATTTAACTTTAATATAATCATTAAAAATTATTTAAAAATAATAAATTAAAAAGATGTAGCATTAAAGTTAGTCACAAATTGTATTGGTAATATAATAAGTAAATGTTTGAGATAAATTAAAAAAGTACAATTTTCTATCTATATATATTTATTTGGGTCATATCAATTAATATCTATCAATCAACATCTCTATTCTACTTTTTTAAACTATTTTCTCTGCTTTTTACATTTTTTTTATAAAAAATAAAAAAATACACTTATTTTATTTGGGTGATATCAATTAATATCTATCAATCAACATCTCTATTCTACTTTTTTAAACTCTTTTCTCTACTTTTTACATTTTTTTTTATAAAAAATAAAAAAATACACTTATTTAGAACATTCCAAATCACCTTTAAATTTAGGAGCAATTTGAAAATTTGAAAAAAAAAATCAATTTTTTAACTTTTTTATATAAAAAATTCAAAAAAAAAATATTAAAAATGTCAAAAAAATTAAAAACTTAACTTTTTACAAACATCTCAAAAATTACTTAAAGTTATTACAAGGATGTTGGCCTAATGTCTCTGAGAACGAGGGATACAGCCTCCACGTCATTTCTGGGAAGATAATCTTGAGAAGAGAAAAAGATTCTTGAAAGAGATAGATCTCCATTGGAAATTAGAATTATATACGAACCCAATATATTCATTTATCTATCTACTAGTTGGCCCCCACGCGCAAAATGCGTAGAGTCACATCACTATTACATCATAAATAAAAATAAAAAGTTAATACAAAAATAGTTGATAAAGAAAAGATGACAAGAAAACAACAACAATTAAAACTATTTAAATTGATCGAAATGATAAGAAGAAACATGTGACTGAATAGAAATTTTGAAAAGAGTTCATGTGTTACCCAAGAAAAAAAAAATTAGAGAACTATCATCATCCAGTCAATTTTCTAATTTGAAGATTATTTATGATGTGAGTTGACTTTTTAATTATTTTAATTTGGAATTAAAAAATTTTATTTGAGATAAATTTTTTGACTTCCGTAAAAAAAAAATAATAATAATAATTATAAATTAAATGTAACATTTTATCTTATTTAACTAAAATCACTCATTTTATTTTATACGACTATTTTGACCCAAACTGCTTTCATCATGTGCCAAACTGCTTTCATCATGTGCAGGTAAGTTCAATACCAACTCAATGCATGAGTAGTAAAACATATACCTATCTTATTATAATAAAGAAAATCAATCGCTCAAGGCCAGCATAATTTTCAATATCAGAATTACTTCAATAAAAAATAAAAATTTTCAAATATTTATAAAACTAAAAGCCCATCAAACAACTTTTATTTTTTATTTTTTATTTTTTTTAAAAAGTTCACATGTTACTTTGACAAACAATTCTGTATAAAAAAATTTATAGAAGAATTAACACTTCGCATTATATCAATGTTCACAACAGCGCCACAATCGTATCGTACCCTTCCACAAGTTCACAGTAGTGCCACAAAGATCCATTACAGACCAAAATTATGCACAGAAACAAAAATAATATAAAATAAACATCTAACTGAAGAAAAAATTGCGAAAGCCTTCAAACAGGCTTACTGGTCACTTGTTTGTTTTTTCCCCCTTTGTCTCCGCATGTACAGCTAAACAAGCATATATCTCAACAAAAAATTATCATTCCAATGCTATGGCCCCATTTGGTATAATTGTTAAAACAGTTTATTGATTATAACTTAACAGATTATAGATTATGACTTTAATCAGAAGTTGTTAATATGTTTGGTGTAACTGTTAGATTATAAATTTAAATTGCTGAGTAGTGTTTATTAAATAAGCTGTGAAATAACTTTTTCAATTAATTTTTATTTTTTGTTTGTCTACATTTCTTATAAAAAATAATAATAATAATCTATAGTCCATTTGAGTCTTTTTCTATTTTTAAAAAAATAAAAAATAAAAAATAAAAAAATTTAAGAGTATGGCCATAAATTAACATATCCACAGCAAAAGCTGATAATCAGAAGCAGGGGGTGAGCAGCTTCTCAGAATCAACTTTTTTTTGAGTTAAAATGATCTGTTAGAATCAGAAGTTATTTGAAATAAGTTTAACCAAACAGTTCAAAATAACTTTTTCAAAACTAAAAGTCATAAGTTGACTCTGAAAAACTGAAACAAACACCCCCTATGTTAAGCCTCATGGACCAGTTGTACCTCACCATTTTCCTGTCAATGCCGCATTGACCAATTTTACATATTTGTGCTTTTTATTATTATTTTTACTTTTCCTTTTTCTTTTTCTTTTTTTTTTTTCCAGTGGGAGCGGGCAGGGGATTCAGCTTGTAAGTTTCCTTAGCCGCTTTTCCGCAAGATTGGCAACCTTGTTCTGCGGTTCTAGGACAAGAGCATGCCTGAAATCTGCAGATACCAGGAGAAAGAACATGTTGAAGTGCGGGGAAACAATACATAACCAAAAACAAAAATGCATCCTGTGACAAAGGCTAAATCAACCTGGTGCTAGAGTGACTACTTGAACACAGAAAATTAAATCAATTGTGTCTACACGTGCAGATCAATATTCGAATCACGCATGAAAAGAAGGCATGCTGCGACACTTGGCATCAAACAAAAGGATACATGTTCCTGTACTTAACATGTCAGACATGCCTAGTTCCCCTATGTTACATGGATAATTCAAGAGGTAACAAATTGTAATCAGTATATTGTGGCATTCACTTTTACCTCAGGGAACAAAAAATATTTGGGATCGTATGGAAGACTTGGCAATTCCATGGTTCAGTTACAATAGTCTGCTCAAAGTTTCCTAGGTTTCAAGGATATGTCAAAACCTGTGACTTTTAACTGCTTTAACATTACCATTTTGCTTTATCTTCGGATTGATCAATAAAAAAAGAAATAACCTAAACTTGCAGAATTACACATACCTGACACCTCGACATACTTGAACAATGACAGACAATACCAGGAAAAAAAGACAAAAAAAGGAAAAAAAGAAAGAAAAAAGAGATGTGAGCAACAGAACAGAAATAAAAACATTGTATGTAACTTGGATTCTCACCTTGAAGAGACTCTTTATAAAAGAGAAGTGATTCTCTAGGTGTTCCTCGCCTCAGATATGCCTTCACATTCTGAAAAGGGAAATGGATAACTCTTTACAACATAATTAAGATAACAGTTTATATGCTTGTTCCTGTATGTAATTAAGATAACAGTTTAGATGCTTGCCCCCAGACAGGAACGCATATATTCTACATTTTCTTGCTTGCCCAAAAAAAAAAAATAAAAAACTTGCTCAAGAATACCAATCTGTCTAGCGCAATGTCTACATCCTGTACATAAGCACCCAGCCTATACAGCAGAAGAGAACAATACAAATATGCATCACAACTTATATAAATGACTGAATGTCCATTATGATTCAGAAAGTTTCAAGAGCATCGCGAATTTAAAGCAGTATAGACAATTTATGCTTGTCTTAATGTTCAGTCAGATTTTCTTTGCACACCCTCTAAAATACTACATTGGAAACAAGAAAGTGGTCACCTATTTTTTTTACAAGAATAAGAGGCAGAGGATGTTAAAAGTTGGAATTACAGTCAAGGAGCAACAAGGAAGAAGCTCACTCTCTAGATCTAAAATTGAAATCCCTCAATAGATGAATGAATGAATGAAAATGTAGTTCAGAAAGGTTGTCATCATCAAGGTCATCATCATCAATCAATGAAAAAAGCAAACTAATCAATATTCCCGGCAGGGAGAACAAACTAATAAAAAAGCAAGGTTGTCATCATCAATCAATGAAAATATGTTATTATTGGGTTGGGCATATTATCAAACACATGGTGAGCAGAAGATAAAATTATAGCAGAACAACAAAACAAAGACAGCACATAGCGTCGGCCAAATATTAAATTGAATTGGGGCAACAGAACAAGGAAATATTAAAGTACATACAATTATATATATTTTATATATATATATATATATAAATTGACTGACCAACTAATACAAATACAAAAAGAAGCATACAAAAATGGGCGTTTTCAAACATTGTTCTATTTCTTTTTTATTTATTTATTGTGAACATAACAAAGTCCAACCATGGAGGCTACTCTAAAGATTCCATCACCCCCATCAACAACTCTAAATCTTAATTTTCAAAACACAAAAAACAAAAAACAAAAAAACAAAAGAACTGAAACAAAGGCTTCATATATATGATTTCCAATGTAAATTGTTCACCGTCTCGACCACGCTGTCTTCTTTCTATGCCTTGCCTTTCCATCACCCAAAATCAAACATATCTATATATATTGCACACTATTTCGCATCCCACTTTGCACGTACTCTCTCTCTCTCTCTCTCCAATTTTGATTTTGATGGCATTGGTAATCGAAATCAACGCACGAGATGTAATAAAGCACTATTAACCTTGATTGAATTAACAAACAATACTAATCAATTATTAGTAGAGGTATCTCTTGTCAATATATAATTAGGCAAAAGGTCTACATTCACATAATTAAATCACAAAAAAGTACCAAAAATATATACTTCAACATAATGAAATCAATCTCTGAAAATAGCCATACGGTTCTATCATGTTGACATATACATCTTTACTTTATGTGCACCTGTAAAGAAACTAAATACAAATGTGGAATTACCAAAGTGCGAAGATTGAAAGGGAACTAATTACCAATGCAGGGTCCATGTTCTGTGGTTCACAACATGTATAATCAAATACATAATATGATATAAAACACGATAGAAAATTTTTAAGGATATAAAATTTTTAAGGTGAGGCACCACTTTCTATTGGAGTTCAATGTATTAACTTCCGTGTCAAACAACTCCAACTCCAACTCAAGTGTAAAATAGTTTGAGTTTTTAATGTCTCTTGATTGGATTGGAATTTTCAACCTAGAAAATTGGATGGGTTTTCTTTTTTGTTCCGAACATTCAGCAGCCGAATTCCTCAATGATTGAGACATATTAACAAACACATGCTGTGCGTACCAGGAAGAGGGCCGACAGATATACAAAACAGTAACACAGTTTTAAATAGCAGCAATCACATTAGAAATATACGAAATCACAGGTGTACGTACCAGGATTTTCAAGAGCAGAGCTTTGGATGCCAAATTTTCACAGCGTTACGGCACGAAGAGGACCGACAGTTATGGCAAGAAGAGGACAACAAGCACTCCTTCGAGAAGATATATATATATATATCTCTAGTGAGAAAGCCCATCTTCGAAGGGGCAAATTTTGTTTTCTTCTTCCTTGTCGGTCAACCAAATGTGGTAGGGAGGAGCTCTGGGAAATAGAGAACCTGAAGACCACCATTTTGGAGGATTTCTAGGATGAATGATCTTCGAAATGAAGCAGCAGCAGAACGAAAGTGGCCCTTTTACAGACGGAATCATGGAATTTGTTTGTTTCTGTGTGTGGCCCAGCCGGTCAACACAATATAATATTATGAAGGCAATCTTGGAAATTACTTGTTATATCTCATAATATATTTTGTAAAACAAACATGCATAACATATATCTAATCTTATATATCAAGTCAACAAATATGACTTGGAGGATATACTATCCAATACCTATATCCTATTCATTATATATCCTGACTAAATCTCACATCATATTATATCCTCCATTTTATATCTAGTGAAACAAACGGGGCCTAAGAAACAAAGAACCATAGACTTACAATAGAGGAGGCAGATGCACAAAACGTAACACCATGTGTTACACCACACTTAACATATATAAAAGCATGTAAGTGTGGTGTAACGGATGGTGTCACAATGGGTTCTTTGTTTCTTACGGATTAGGGCTGCCTACGTGTTGTTCGGCTGGGCCACACACAGAAACAAACAAAATTCATGCTTCAGCCTGTCAAAAGGCCCACCCTTGTTCTGCTGCTGCTTCATTTCCAAGATCATTCATTCTAGAATTCCTCCAAAACGGTGGTCTGCAGGTTCTCTATTTCCCCAGCCTCCTCCCTACCACATTTGGTTGACCGACAAGGAAGAAGAAAACAGAATTTGCCCCTTCGAAGATGGCCTTTCTCACAAGATATATATATATATATATATATATATAATATAGATATCTTCTCGAAGGAGTGCTTGTTGTCCTCTTCTTGCCATAACTGTCGGTCTTCTTCGTGCCGTAACGCTATGAGAATTTGGGATCCAAAGCTGTGCTCTTGCAGTTGCAAATCTTGGTACGTACACCTGTGATTTCGTATATTTGTAATGTGATTGCTACTACTGAAAATTGTGTTACTATTTTGTATATCTGTCGGTCCTCTTCCTGGTACGCACACCATGTGTTTGTTAATAGGTCTCAAACATTTCTCTTGATTGGATTGGAATGTTCAACCTAGAAAATTGGATGGGTCTTTTTTTTATTCGGAACATTCAACAGCCGAATTCAAAGGTTTCTTTCAGTAAATGGATTAAATTTCTTGGGGAAGATCGTTGGAATCAACACCACCTTTAATGAAGCTTATTCTTAGCTTACATCGGAAACCCATACAAACCTCTTTTATAAAGCACTACATCATTCTTACCAATTCTCCATCAAAGTCATCGGAAATGAACACTCGTTTAAGATAGAGCCTTATATCCGATCCTTTTCCTTGGAGTTAGGTTAGATTACGTCACACAAATTGTTCAGTACTTTTCCTTGATAAAGTTCATTTGTTTTAAAAATTATACCTATGTGAGTCAAATCAGCAAAGTTTGACTTACAAAATGAAAGTTTCTGGTGAACTTTAAAACAGAGCTGTCTCCTCTTGTTTTGTTTCTATTTTGATTATTTTTTCGAAGGCAAGGTTGGAAAATGATTTGTCACTTCTATGTTCTATATAATATATTATGTCAACTGAAAAATCTAATTGATTATATACTAAGTTCTAATTTATTGTTAAAAATTTCAAAAAATAATGTAAAAATGACTTTCTAGATTTATTTAATGTTTTTTTTTTTTTTTTTTTTTCACACCTCAGCCCCCTACCCCAAATGAATACAAATTGAAATAGTAATTCGGCACAATATGTGGATGTATGGATAGGGAAGTTTTTTTTTGGGAGCACTGGATAGGGAAGTTAAGGACAAGAGAATTGAATTATTTAAAAAATGAAAAATGCATGAGACCCCTAGTGGGTGCTGGGGTCTCTCCTGATTGGCCAAAAAATTGTTTTTTTTTTTCATTGGCAGCCCCCCACGTGGAGGCGGGGGGTGCTGGGGGTCTTGGCCAGCTGGGGGTCTCCAGCAAGACCCTTAAAAAATATTCAATAAAACAGACAATACAATTAATGAAAACAAACTACTACTTGTGATTATAATCTATTTTAAAAAATTATTTTTTTTGGTCTTCTTGTTCATAAATTTTAGATTTAGAATGGTCCTGTTTGGTGTAACTATTAAAACAGATTATACATTATAGCTTAACAGATTATAAATTATGATTTCAATCAAAAGTTATTAATCTGTTTGGTATAACTGTTGGATTATAGATTTAAGTTGCTGAGTAATGTTTGTTAAATAAGCTGTGAAATAGCTTTTTCAATTAACTTATATTTTTTAGTATTCACTATTTGTCTACATTTCTCATAAAAAATAATAATAATATTTTATAATCCATTTGGGTCTTTTCTATTTTTAAAAAAATAAAAAATAAAAAAATCTAAGAGTATAACCGTGAATTAACATGTCCATAACAGAAGCTGATAATCAGAAGTAAGGGGTGAACAGCTTCACAGAATCAGCTTTTTTGACTTAAAATAAGTTAGTAGAATCAGAAGCTGTTTGAAATAAGTTTAATTAAACAGTCCAAAATAACTTTTTAAAAATCAGAAACCATAAGTTGGCTCAAAAAAACCCCACCAAACACCCTCATATATGAGTTAAGCCATTGATGCGACACTTTATTATTTAGATGCAAAACAGTCTGTTTAAGTTTATTAAATAGAATAGCAGTATAATATCCATCGTCACCTGGGTTGTGAAATGTGAAGATGCTAAAGGCTCCAAGTATTCATTGAAAGTCTTCTTGTAAAATTCATTATATTCCTCTGTAGTGACATCCTCCGGGTTCCGAAGACAACAAATCAAGCGCACTACACAACAAGAAAGAGCATTTGAGTTCTTACCCATATAGGCTGGGTCTCATTAGTGAGCTCCCAATTCCTGTACCTCTCAACAACTTTCTTGGTTTTCTTCTTCTTCTGCTATAGATAAATTTAAATCAATAACCGTGTAGTGCAGATAGAAATTTACATTGAGAAGCAAATGATGGACCATATGGTTATTAGAATGGGCAATTCAGGAGGGAAAGGAAAGAAAAAAAAGAATGAAACAAAGAAAAATGAAGACGATCATCTTGTTTAACATATGCTTATTAGAGCAGGATATTAGGACAGTGAAAGGCACAGAAGATGTATGGCCTGTAAGACCAAATCGTGTAGAAGATGAATTAATTTGATCTAGAAGATGTAGATACTAAAACCAGAACGCGTAGTAGATCCTCTTCGAAGATGAACTGGAGAGAAAGAGAGAGAGAGAGAGAGAGAGCGAGAATTTCGGGTCATATGAAACACATAGGACCAGCCATCACCTCATAATTAGAATTATCTTACTACATAGATTAGATGACGATACGGTGAACAACAACAGAATTTGGCAAAATAACACTATGGGCAAGTGTTATACGGAGGCGAAAACAATCTTACAACCAAAAATTAAGATGCATACAATATATCCTTCAGCCAAAACAATCTTATTATTTCTCAACATCTTATAACTTTGGGCAAGTGATGTATGGAGGCGAAATTGCTACATTGAAGCCCTGCGTTATAACACAAGTATAATATTATATGCATATAATATTTGTTCATTAATTATATTTTTTCCTCTCCTTGAAAAGCCCTATTTACCAAAATTACATGAAATAATCTTTGAAAAGCGCTAATTACCAAAATTACATCAAATAATTCTCGCACCACAGCAAATCAAATCGTTACATCTATATCAAACCAACAGCTATAAAAGATCTTCAGAAATAATAATTAATGAACAAATATGGAACACCACAGCAATTGAAATGTAAAATATAATTACATTTCATTTCGTATATTCATAAACCAGATACAGTTTTAAAAATATTTTTATTCTTTGAATAAAAAAAAATATATATTTTTATTCAAACTAACTATAGAACGACGCGTGGGGGGCCAACTAGTATGAAAAAAAAAAATTAATCTACAAATTTTATGAGATTTTTAATATTTTAATTCTAATTTTTTTATTTTTTTATTTTTAAAAAAACCCTCAGCGTTTAGGTTTAGTTTGGCATAATCTAAAAAAGTCAAAAGTTAAAAAGTTACTATCATATTTAAGTTACATTATTTTATTTAAATCACATTATTTCTTTATCACATCACTTCAAACTTAACGCATACTTTACATTTTTTTCGTAAAAAGTCAAAAAGTACACTTATTTAGATCTTCCCAAACAACCCCTTATTGATTCCTCCCAACCTACAAACCTTTTTAACTTTTCTCATAATTATTGTAGCACGCTTTTCAATTTCTCTTATACACTATGGTTACATACAAAGATAAAGAAGATAATAATTTAGCTATGGATCTAAAAAAGATATAACAATATCTAAATTTGAATTATGATTTAGTAACATAGTTATTTATTTATTTTTTGACGTATATCTATCAAAATTTGGAATCACTTAATGGGACAAAGTAATCAATTTTCTAAAATTATTGATTTTTTAATTTATAAAATAGATTAAAAAATTATTGACTGATTTATTTATTTAATAATAAAAATATTTCATAATCTCTCCATCCTAATCTCTCTCGCTAATTTCCCAAAAAAATATATATTGTAACTTGCCTTCATTCTCTCTTTCCCAAAAAATCAGATAATATTGTTCATGAAAGTTGTAGATATCTATCTATATCTTATATATTATATTATAACATAACATAACCAAAAAAAAAAAAAAACTAAAAATCAAATATACAAACAGATAAAATTAATAAACTTGATTATTATTTATTCAGTTAAAATCTTTCTTTTGCATCTCAATATCTAATTTTCAAAGTTTATCTAAACAAATATAATTTGTAAATATCTCCCACTATTATACTTTAAATCAATAAAACTCACATATCTATCATATATCTAACGCACATCATAACTTACCTAAATAATAATAATTAAAAACAAATAGAAACCACAGATAAATTAAATTTTTAAAAAAAATAGAAACCCACAACTCCATCTTAAATAAATTGAAAAAAAAGGGAATAGAAACCACACAAAAATAAAAATAAAAAATATTAGAATTTAGATATGAATCT